GTTCAAAGCGCCCGCATCTATTATCACTTAACCAAATCCATCCCTTTTTAATCAAATCCAAATATTTTCGAATATTCAAATGTGGGTTAGAATGCAATTATTCCGCCCGGGCAACACGAACGTGTTCAATTGCTTCCGGGAAATCTTTTAATTGAATATTCGCCATCCCGATTTCAATAGATACCTACGTCCCACCAATGTGCTAGGCATTAGTAAACTGTCATAAATTGTTGGCCGTTTCTCAGAAATAATGAAAACCCTATTAGGCAACTGCGAAAGTTTACAATTTGAGCGAGTCTCGCAAATTAGAGGTATCGATATAGAATGTCAGTTTCAGTTACAGCCGAGTCTCTGGCATATTTTGGTTGCATAACATGTACATATAATTGGTTCTGTTCCAACTAAATTGCCCTATAAAATTCCTGGCGAAATAGACAAGATGCTTCCCGTGCACGGGTAATAATGTTAACAAATTACCCGGCTGCCATTTTAATTTATAGTTGAAATTTAGATTCAACTTCTTGAACAGTGGAACAGTCCACAGATATTTATTTATCCGTTTGGCCACAAATTCGAACTTGATAATAATCATAATGTCCTGTTATTCGAACATAAAGGCAAAATAAACACATTCCAAGACGCGCCTCGTATTATCCGGATTGGCTGTTTCCGATGTATATTTCCCAAACGATCGTTTATTTATTCGCAATGCAAAGACGTAGTGACGAAAAAATTGTACCGGTACCCAACAGCTCTTAACTAAATTGAAAATGCAACTATGTCAAAGCCATACATTATTTTGTTCTCCGCACGGGCATAGATATTGAATACGACTGGAAATACCTCGGACAACTAATGCGAGTTGAGAGTATTGAGTTGCATAGCAACGTAATAAATATATTCCGGCACCGACGAAATTTATCGCGGAATGCACTGAATCAGAATCCGATAGTCAAATAGATTGTTAATTCGGCACCTGCGTCAAATTCGACGGAGCATAGCGATCCAATTCGAAACAATTATTAAATATAGAATTTTTAATTACATTTTGGCGTATTCGGTTAATGCTGGATGTGACCAAGTCAACGTACCTTTTTTTTAATAAACTTTTGTCTATACTTTTTAATATTTATTTAGAAAACAACCCTCCCGTCTATAATATTAACAATAAACCCATTTAAAAAGCTGTTCTTTTAACAATTAAAACATCATGTTGAACGCCGTTTATATATAATATATATATATATATATATATATATATATATATATATATATATATATATATATATATATATATATATATATTAT